CGAATAATCAATTATTTCGACGATAGAAATTAATTGGATATTTATAATAAAGGATTGCGGGAGAATATTACTAAGATTAGTAATATTTTATTTATTCACAACATGGACAATATTTGCAACATAAAGATTTGGTGATGGAATATGAGCTACTTATATATCTTCGAGCGTTGCGAAAAAAACGTATCGCTCTTTTAGCTAATTCCAATTATAGTATTTTGTGCTGTTGCAGATTTATTCCGAAACGGTTGCTATTATTGCGCCCGTTGCGGATTTTTCGACACGCCGTTACTAATTTAACTTTTGTATTACTAATCTAAATGTTTGCTGACTGTGGAGGAAGATTTTATCATGTAACTTACTTATCTGATTCATCAGATCAGCTTGCCGTAACACTTATAAAGTAAATACATGTTGATTATTTTGTATTAAATATCATCATAAATAAATTAGTTCACTTTTTGCTATGCCTTCTCTTATATCAATGCATCTTTTTTACATGACAAGTTTTAGTAGTCTCAATACATTATCCCCAAAAAATTGTAACCTTACAAATGTATGATTTGTTATTTGTTTGAGAAACAAGTAGAATAAATTGCAACATTAATTGCAAGTGACACGTTTACATTGTTGTGCAATATCGTATTCAACAAAAATAAAGTATTGTTTCATTGTTCAATTAAAAATATAATACATTATCAATAATATACAGAATAGCGAATGATTTGTTTGAGGAAATTTGTCATTACGAGTCTAAGTCCCATTTCTTCAACGTTCCCAATTCTATAATTTTCAAACGAAAAATTTTTAACTATATTCTATTTCCACGGGCATTACTGCGTTCTAATTGCATTCCTGACATAGACTCTCGAGTTCTCTGAAGCGGAATAGCTGCGGTGGGTGGAAACTTTAACAAGGGAGATGATTGCGACTTTATAGAAACATCGTTATTCTTTGTTCTTGTCCTTACCATTACATTTACGCAACTACTGGCTATGGTGACTAGTATGATTGTGTCGAAAACAGGTAGTACAATAAGTGCATTATTAGCATAAGATATGCTAAGAAAAGAATTTGACATAATGCGATCGTGAAAGCAAGCAAAGCTTATGAGTTTTACGCCCATTAGAAAAAAGGTGACTGTAAATATATGGTGTATGAGTTTTATCTAATTGGAATGAATGCAGAAGTGAAAGAAAAAAGAGTTTAATAAATTAGCAAATCAAAGTAAAAATTTTTTTCAAGCAAGCTTTTTTTTTTCTCCGGCTGCTATTACCTTCATCACACTCTTTAATTTATGATGCCTCTTTTCCCACTCCTTTCCACGTGATCCAAATTCGCTAAACCTCCAATTTGATCCATTTCCTCTTCTAAACTGTTTTTACTTGACCAAACCAACTCACATAGCGACCCCCCCAAAATTCTGCTGCTGATCCGTAGATCATTTCCAGAAATTGTCTTGCGGAATTGCCGACCTCTCACTACTATTTTTGGAAGCGGAATACAGACAATTTTCTTATTATTATGTAACTGCAAGTCATGTGATGAGTTGAAAAACTACATAGCCTCTCACACTATGCATAGCAGCTAATCTTATTCTCATTCTTTTATTTATTGTAAAAACATTGTCCATGGTTTAGAGTCTTTCCATGTTCTAGCTCGCTTACGTTTTTCTCTTGCTTCCTGGATGTCACCCATAATATTATTAATTCGTTTTGTATTATTTAGTAGTGCTTGGACATGCTGATAATTTTTCTGCTCAAATTCTGCCATTAAATGATCTAAAAATTCTTTTCGCATTTGGATCTCGTGCTGTAGCTGCTCAACATCAATCTCAGGAGATTTGGAAACTGTGGCATTGTCAATGGGTTCTTGCAAGTGAACCGAATCTATATCATTTTCATTGGTTACTTGCTCTAAGTGAAACATATCCATACTATTTTCATTAGTCTCTTGTTCTGATTCTCTATGATTGTCTTTTACGAAACTAATAAATGGACGTTCCCTGCCTCTTCTGATTTCATTGTAGATTAACTGTTTGGAACACCTGCCAGCAGCAATTACCAAATGTTTACACAGCAGAAATCGGCTTTGCAGAAAATTGGGACAACTACATACCCATAAAGCATCTGATGTATAATAGTTTTCCCCAGAGTTAGTAGAAAAGTGTCTTTGTCCTGCCTTTTTCCATTCCCTTTTAAATTCTTCCCACCAATGTGGGTATTGACAGCTGTTTAGTAATTGTAGAAGCCGATTCTCCTGCTGTGGAAGAAGATGTTCGCATATGATATAGATTACATAATCCAAACGCAGTCGATTAAAGCGATACAGGTAATCACGTTTTAGAACTTTCCAATGTGCTTCAATCATCATCGTCGTTTTGCTGTGCTGAAAGGTATTTGTGGGTGACATGAGCGAGCCCAGAGAGAATACTTACCTTCAGAATACCAACATGAAAATAGGTAAAGCCATAATGCTGAAAGATCATTTAATCTGCAAAAATCATAGACTTCTTTTGTTGAATTGTAGTGAATTTGATCAGGTGTCAAAGAACCACCACTCACGTCAATTGGTATCAATGGATGCAGATTAAAATGTCTTTCTATCAGAGTTACAACTGACTTGTGTAAGGATACGGGACAAAATAATGATGTGCTTTCAGGTATTGGTCGAAATGTTGGATCGATAAAAGGGAATCGTTTAAGGTCACTTTCTTTAATATATGCAAACCTTTGCTGTTCCTTTTTGCTTCGTAACCGAGTTAGAATAGCTCTTTTTATGTGCCATAAACACAGCCGTGTTTGTGAGTTTCTCCACACTAATTGTGCAGCATTGATTTCAGCAAAGTCTTTATCGGTAAAAATAAACTTTGGTATTAGGCTTCGATTCCTAAGCGCCTGGAAGAATTCTATGAGTAATTGTGTCCGAATGGACTCATTATTACCCGAATGTTTACTCGTATCCACTAAACAGTACGCAAGAGGAAATCCACTTCCATTGATTTCTCCGACGACGCCATATAATTCGAAGCGACCTTTAGCTGTTTTGTAAGTTGCGTCCACATGGGCTTCTTCAATCTGTTGGGATACTTTAGAATCGGTGTTGAGAAAGCAATGGCAACAATATCTGAGGTATTTTTTTCCATAATAAGTTCACAATTTTGGCTTCGATACACATTTTTTAGAAGATAGATTGCTGATTTTACTGGATCATCGTCGAATTTATAAGCTGACTGAGTGCTTGAACTCCAACAATAGTAAATCTGCTTCGGTGTAATATCTGACAAGTCAAATTTTTTGGTAAGATATTTTCGAAGTTGTAATGGTTCTAAATGTATATTTTGCCATATCTCCATGCAGACGTTTTCAGGAATGCTATGTGAGTTTTCTGGACGTTTATGCAAATAATTATGTGTTAAGATAATGCATGCATAACCGTTTAGCAGGTCTATGCGTATTTGTAATTGGCCTTCACATTTAAAGCGCATAATTCGTTTTCGATTGGACTGTTTGTAGTCCGCCAGACATTCACTCTGCGAGCAAAGATAATAAACCGTAGACATTTTGTTTCTTTCTTTTGTGGATTTATTTTCTTTCCAAAAACTTAAAATAAATATAATATTAACATTTTATTGACGGAAATATATAAATCGTATTCGCATACTAATACTTACTTCCATTTATAACCATCTTCTCTTTCAACATCAATTCGAAATTTTGTAGCGACATCTTTTGGATTTAAGAATTCGTCAATTTCGAGCTTTATTTGACATGAAATTTCGATACGTTCGTTATCGACAATTATATCATCGTAAAAGCATTCAAACTGACTTCGTAAAAATTGAGGAAATTCTGCCTCCGTGAAAGTTATAAGATGTTCCTCATTAATATTTGCGCCGTTTGTGAGTGTTGGATTTATTTGTCTCTCGGTTGGAGTTTCTGATCTTTTATCATTTTTTGAACTTTTTTGAGTTAAACACCTTTGACATGTCTTACGAATTCTTCCCCTCGATAAAAACTCATTGCTGTTTTTCTTAGCGTGACAAGATGAACACTTCAACATTTTGTGCAAGCGACAAGCTGATAACAAA